TCATCCTACTCCTCCTCCCCCTCTTCCTTCTCCTCCTCCAGATCTTCCTTCTTCTCCTCCTCCTCTTGCGTGGCGCACCCCGCCCCAGCGTCGCGCACCTGGGGTCGGTGTTGGTTTCCAGTAGCTGCCCATCCGAAGACGACCGCTGAACATGCTTAGGCTCGCGTTTTACATATATATGTTGGGAGGAAGGGTGGGAGTGAGCTAGACAGCTTGCTATCTAGGAGGGTGTCTTGTCCCCTCCCCCATATCCACTCCCCTGGACCGTGAGCGGTCAGAGCGTCCAAGATGGCCCAGGACAGCTTCAAGAGAGCCTCAGAGAGCCCAGGATGACCTCCAAGATGGCACAGTATAGTCCAAGATGGATTGCTTTCAACATGCTCCACGAGGCCCCAAGACCGCTCCAAGGCGGCGCCAAGTGGCCACGGAGCCTCCCCAGGAGGCCGCCAAGGGCCTAACTCACCAAAAAACACAGTAAAGCAACAACTCCAGAGCACCAATGATTCTTGCCTTCTCGCCTTTTCGCTTCCGATGGCCTTCCGAGGCCCCAAGACAGCTCCAAGAGGGCCCCTGAGGGCCCCAAGAGAGGCCTAAAACAGCCCCAAGACGGCCCCGAGAGCGCCCAAGAGCGCTCCAAGAGCGCGCCCAAGACGGGTCCAAGAGACGATTCTAGGGAAGGCTAATTAAAGCTCCTCCCTTATGCAAGCGATGTCCTCCAAACTCGCTCCAAGAGCGTCCGCAAGCCTCCCTAGAGCCCTCCGAGAGGACCCAAAGAGGCGCCAAGGATGCCCCAAGAGGCGCCCAAGAAGCCTTTCAAGAGGCTCCCAAGGGACCCCCAAGAGGCCCTAAGAGGCTCCCCGAGGTACGCAAGGGGCCCCCTGCACCGCCAAGAGGTCCTAAAGATGCCCCAAGAAGCCCCCGAGCTCGCCATTGTCATCCTCCTCCGCCTCCTCCTCCTCCGCCTCCTCCTCCTCCTCCTGCTCTTCCTCCTCCTCCTCCTCCTCCTCCTCCTTGTCCTCATCCGCCTACGTATGTCTCCCCCTCCCTCCTCCTCCCCCTCCCCCACCTCTTCCTCCTCATCTTCCTCGTCCTCCTCCTCGTCCTTGTCCTCATCCTCCTCTTCCTCCTCCTCCACTTTACCCTCCTCCTCCTCCTCCTCCGCCTCCTCCTCCTCTCCCTCATCCGCCTGGTCCTTCTTTCCCGCCGTTCCTCATTATGCAAGTCTGCGAAGGCGCATACGGTTCGCTCCCGGGTCTGCGCAGGCTGATCCAAGACTTCAGTTTGACGGCTTCCCCAACTCTTGCTCCACTGCATGCTCCACCGCTTCCCTGATCAAGGCAACTCGCCTGGGCATCGTTTTGTGGATGGGCTGGTGGGGATACTTTTTTTTGCGAGCGCGCAGGTGTGCCCTGCGCCGTCAGACGGCTGGTGGGGATACTTTTTGGTCGCGACCGCGAGCGGGCACCCGCGCGGAGTCAAGAAGGCCAGCGAGGCGCGAAGCCGTGCAAGTGCCCGGCAGCGGAACATGTGCTGGCCCACACCGCAGACGCGGCGCAGAAGCGGCGAGAACGAGGAGAAGCCAGAGAGAGCGACAGACGAGGAAAACGAAGACGAAGCGAGGAAGAGAGCAGGAAGCAAGCGAAGAAAGCAGAAGAAGGAAGGGCTGATTGGGATACTTTTTAGGTCCGCGGCTCCGAGGCGAGAGACAGGGAGCGAGCACAACGTCCGGGGCGCGGTACGTCATTAATTGGCGCGAGATTGCCGCGGATTCCAGCGGACAACACTCGCAGCGGCACGTGCACATGCCAGGGACAGAATGCCAGGGACAAAATGGCTGGTGGGGATACGTGAAGCGTCGAGAACTGCGAGGCGAATCCAGCGGTGGCGACGGGGGCCTACCGGGCGGCCGACAAAAAAGAGAACAGGGCGAAGGGTGGTGGCATGGGTACTCCAGATTTCGTAATAAAAGGGAGGGGGTCACAACCCTCCCAGACGAGAAGTTTTAGACCCCCCCGTGGGAGAACCCTCCAAAACATCGTCCCCAGACCCCCCAGGCCCTCCAAGATAGCCTGGAAGAGACCCCCCCCCGAAATGAGACCCCCCTCCCTTTATTAAGAAAATCTGGAGTACCTTTTCCCTCCCCTGAGCAGGGAGAGCCCGCGCAGGATCTCGAGCTCCCCGCGGTGCTCCGAGAAGTGGCGGCGCTCCTGGGAGCGCTTCCGCTGGTCGGCCCGCAGGCTGCTCGGGCTGCGCGCGCCGCCCGCGCCGCTGGACATGGCCCCCGCGCGCGCGGCGCGCGCACGACGCGCGAGGGGGCGGGGCGGCCGCCGCGGTCGCGCAGGCGGCAGAGGCGGGGGAGGAGGGAGGAGCTCTGGAACTGGAGGTCTCCTCCTCCTCCTCCTCCTCCTCCTCCTCCTCCTCCTCCTCCTCCTCCTCCTCCGCCTCCGCCTCCTCCTCCTCCCGTTCCTCATCCTGCGCCTCCGCGTGTGCCTCCTCCTCCTCCTCCTCCTCCTCCTCCTCCTCCTCCTCCTCCCTCCCCCCTCCTCCTCCTCCTCCTCCTCCGCCTCCGCCTCCTCCTCCTCCCGTTCCTCATCCTGCGCCTCCGCGTCCTCCTCCTCCTCCTCCTCCTCCTCCTCCTCCTCCTCCTCCTCCTCCTCCCTCCTCCTCTCTCCTCCCTCCTCCTGCTCCCCTCCTCCTCCTCCTCCTCCTCCTCCTCCTCCTCCTCCTCCTGCGCTCTGTGTCCTCCTCCTCCTCCTCCTCCTCCTCTCCTCCTCCTCCCTCCTCCTCCTCCTCCTCCTCCTCCTCCTGCTCCTCATGGTCTTCCTCCTCCTCCTCCTCCTCCTCCTCCTCCTCCTCCTGTTCTCCCTCCTGCCTCGGGCCCATCTGCGTGCGCCTGTTCGCCACCACCACGGTCTCCTGTCGCGAGGGGTCCTAGGAGAGAAGGAGGAACGGGAATGGGACGTGTCTCGCAACCGAATCTTCGCACCTAAAGGCCGTTTCCGAGCCCCTGGGCCATCAAAATACATCCAGAATCACGCAATCCCGGGGAAGGGGTCCAGAGATCCCCGGCCCGCGGAGTGAACAACTCAACCCGCCGAAGGAGGACTGCGAGGCCAAGTCCAGCTGGCACTGGCTGGCGTGGCACCCGACGACCGCTGGGAGGCAATTCCGGGGAGGTCGTGGTGGCACCATCGGGCGCTTGGAAGCTGGAACAGGAGCTGCTAAGCTGAAGTAGGGAGCCAATGTCGCAATGGCAGACTAAACCAGATGAGACTGGATTTTGCCTTCAGGGGTCTCATCGGGAACATCTCGTGACAAGGTTGGGCTGCTTTCGGCCCTTAAATCAGTTCAGCCCACAACGGCAATCGGCAGGCGTCGGCATGAAAAGACACGATCATACGAATGGAATGGAAGTCGCAAATTGGTCAACGTGTTTTGTCACTGCTAGACATCACCACGGGGAGTCGGTTACCGAGCCTGGATGAAAAAAATCGCATGGCATCTCAGGAGCGCGGTACCAGCTAGCCTCCCAGTGGCAACTTCGTGACATAATCCGTAAACTGAACAGAGCTCCCCACTGATTTCTCGCTGCTGGAAAATTGATGCCACTCAATGCACATGATGGCCAGACGACATGGGGAGGGGAAAGAGGACGGGAGGACACCTCGCGGTCCCCATTGAAAGCCAAAACCTAGAAACTACTGAATTCACAAGCTGATTAGGCATGAGGAAAAGGAAAGGGAGGGGCATGAAGGGGCCCCCGCAGAAGGGCAGGACCTGCACGGTGCGCCCGCTGCGTCCTTGCGAGGCAGCACGCACATGTGCGGTCCAAGGCGCCTTCCGCCATGACCTTGCCAGGTGTGGAGGGCTGCAGAACCACTGCTACACACCACAAGTTGGGCACTCCATTCTCCCCGATTCGCCGACCCATTCAGCGTGGCACCTTTCGTGCATGAAGTGGCGGCCTGTGCACCACATTGCACGCACAGGCTTTCCACCTGGCGCTTCTGGATCAGTCTCGGACTCCACGCTGCAGATGAGGCAACATTCGTCTGGCTCGCACGCGGGCCCGCAGAAGATCTCATCGCAAGCAATGCGGAGCTGCGTGAGCTGCTGAAGGGTCTGTTCCTGAGTCATGCTCTTGAGCTCCTCGACCATTCGGTTCAGGGCATCCCGCTTCTCCTTCTCGGCCACGGTCGCGGCATCCTCTACTCCACCGCTGAGCCACGCGTTGACCGCCAAGGCGCCAATCAAGTATAACGCCGCCCCAGGGATTCCGCCAGCAATCACGCTGGTAGTGGCGCCCCAAGAGCTGCAAGCGCACGCTCCGAGAAGCCTTGCGAAGACGCTTTTTGACGAGCGGACAGCAGGCGCCCCGCGCAGCCGCGGGCGCCCGGGAAGGCGCCGATCAGTCCGGCGCTTTGGGGAGCTGCGCGCGTCGCTGCGCAGCGAGGCGGGCAAAGTCCGCCGCGCTGCCCCCAGCGAAGTGTAATTCACCGAGAAGGAATAACGCCTGCCCGCGCGCCGGCAGCCGCTCCTTCCACCCCGGGCATGCACAACCCAGCACTTCCGCAGGCGCCGCGGCGGTGGCGCCACACCGGAGGCAGACGACCTGGCCAAGCCCCTGCGCGAGGGCGTGCGGCCACCACGACCGCCCTGCGAAGAAGGCAGCCAGCATGGCGCCTGGGCGGACAGGGTCGTCGGCGCCGCTGCGCCGCGGCGGCGGCGCTGGCGGAAACGCGCGTCCGGCGGGCGCGGCGTCCGGCGGCGCGGAAGCCGGGCGGGCCCAGGCCCCGCGGCGCACCCCGCGCCAGTCGCGCCGACGGCGGCGCGCGGCCGGCGGCGCCGCCGCTAAGGCGGCCTGCTGCGCGGCAGCCATCACGCGCTGCGCGGCCTCCAGCAGCTCCAGCTCCCGGCGGCGGGTGCGCACCGCGTCTGGCGGCGGAGCTCTGCTCGCCGCGGCGGCGCCAGCGTTGCCGTCCGCCGCCGCGTTGCCGAGGCGGTCCCTCTCGCTCAGCCCCAGGCGGCGCGCCTCCGCAGGCGTCTTGTGAGCAGGCACCCAGCGGGCCCGGAGCCGGCCGCTGCGCACGGCGACCACCAGAAGGTGCCACAAGTCGGCATGCTCCCAGTCCCGCATGTCAGCGCCGGCCTCGATCTGGGCGCACGCCCGAACCACGTACTGGCTGTCCGAGGCGAGGTCGATGGGGCCACCGACTACGCGAGCCGCCGCTGCGGCGGCCGTCACCTCACGTTGTACTTCACGAAATGCAGCTTGCAAGCACCAACCGCCCCGCCAACCACAGCGACTCCTAGGCCAACGATCTTCTTTGGATGGCGCATGACGAACTCCATCGCCTTCTTGCACTGGTTAACATACCAACTCTCTGGAAGACCAATGACGCGTCGGAAGCCTTTCTCCATGACTTGCAAAGTCTGTGTCATCTGCTGGTAATAGTTGTCGGATACTACGGCCTGCGCATCGTTCATCATGGGCCGCCCTCGACGAGATCAGGTACTGGCGGGTGGAGAAGATTGCTATGATGCTTTGATACACCTTCATATGTGTGGTCAGGTACTCGAGCTTGTTGCTGGCGGCATCGCCCTTGCCTGGGATTGTGACCCCCTCGTCCTTCAAACGCTGAATCTCGGCCACCACCAGCCGTGCCGCACCAGTGGTCCTTTCCTCCTGTATTGCGTACATAACCGAAGGAGGCGGCTCCTCCGGGATCTGGTAGTTCGCGTTCTCGCCATAGTACGCCGACATGGCTGCCGCGCCGCGCCGCGGTGGCCTCAATCGAAACGTAGCTCAAGCGCCACGGGCCTCTTGAGCCAAAATGGCTACGGACAAGTTGCTCAACGTGTTGAGCCATGCTGAGCCCTCTTAGGGTTAAGTCGGGCGCGTCCCCCTACAGGGGGATCTTCGACGAACAACAAAAAGTACTCAAAGAATAGTCCCGACTATTGTTTGACTTCTTTTGGATATTCCCCCTGTAGAGGGACAGGCCCGACTTAATCTTAGGGGGCGCTGGGAGCCAACGCTGGTAACTAACTGAAGGTAACTGTCTCGGGACGAGGGCCCCCCTGGAGCTGCCTCGGGCTCCGCGTGCCTTCCGAAGGGGCCTCTTTACGCGACCTTGGCGACCCCCTGCGAGGCATCCCTGACAGCAGAAGAGAGACCTGCATTTGGGGGTGAGCCGTCGGGTGTACGCCGCCGTCGTACATGCGGGGGCTGGGGATACTTGGCATCCTTGGGGGGTGAGCCTTGGCATCCTTGGCATCCTCGGGCATGCGTACAAGCCGTCGGGGGCCTTGGCATCCTTCGGGGGTAAGCCGCCGTCGTACATGCGGGCGGCATGGCCGCATTGCCAGAGGCCTCCTGGATGAGGTCGAAGCAGCTGGGGTATCTTGAACCATCTTCTGCTATCTTCAACCGCCTTGGAGGCCGTCTTGGAGCATCGGAGGCCCTCGTGGAGACATCTTGGGCCATCTTGGACACTGTGACAGATCGCGGCCCGCCCCAAAATACCTCAGGGAGGGGATGGGGCAGGGCTAGGCGGCTAGGATGCAACTCCTACGAGGATTGCGCCGATTCGCCGATGCATCGCCGATGCATCGGCGACATCGGCGATGCACCGCCGCCCTCGGCGCAGAGAGAATCGGGTTCGGTATCGAGCCGCATCGCGCATCGCCTATGCATCAGCGATGCGGAGGGATCCTTCGACAACATCTACTCGGACCCAATCTGAGAGGCCTAGATCCATTCGAGCGACATGGCCGCCTGGCAATGATCGCCGCGTGCAGCGCACGGCAAGTCTATTTACCTTTTCCTACGCGCCACGCCGGCATCCCAGCGAGCAAAAGCCAACCGGCGCGCTGCCCAAATGCAGGGCTGGGCCAACAGCGCCAACGCCGTGAGAGCGACACTCGGCGGCTGCGCCAGGGGCAGCAACGGATAGCCTGGCAGCGGAGGGGCACGACACGTCCGCCGGCCATCCGGTCGCCCACGTGCTCGACGAGGCTCCCGCGCGGACGCGTTCAGTCCATGCCCACCCCTGGGCTGCTCGCCCCCGCCGCCGCCCCGCCGAGGCACCCTCACCGGAGCCTCAGGCGGCGTGGCGCGGCCCCCCTCGTGGGCGGGCCCCCGCGGCGCAGCAGCGCTCGCCTCCGCGGGACCCGGGCCTCTGGGTGAAGGGCGCCTCCGAGAAGTCGCTGGGGAGACCCCGCCGGGCCCCCGCCTTCGGGCTCGCCCGCGCTCGGACGGTGCCGCCGTGTGAGCTCGGTGCCGCCTGCGTCCTCGCACGCGCCGCCGTCGGCCTCGGGCCCGCGCGTGCACCTCGGCCTCCACCGCGGCGCCCCCGCCGCGCCTCACCGAAGGCCGGCGGGCGCGGCGGCCGGCGGGGCCCGGCCTCGCCCGAGGGCGGGGCGCGCCCGCGCGGGAAGAGCGGGGACCCTGCGGCGCAGCAGCGAATGCCTCCTGGCATGTGGGGGAAAGGACGACGACGACGACGCCGACGACGCCGACGACGACGACGCCGACGACGCCGACGCTGACGCTGACGCTGACGCTGACGCTGACGACGGCGACAAGGGAGGCACCATCACCACCACCACCACCAGCGCGAGGCGCCAGGGAGCGCCCTCCTGGTGGTGTGCCCCCCCCCCTCTGACTCCGGGGCCTTCCCCAAGGATGAGGCTAATTATCATCCTGATCGGCTTCCTGCCAGCCCTGGGGCCCGTGACAGGTCCCGAGGGCTCGAAGGCGGCGAAAACCTCCAGACCCGTTCCCCTCAGGACCCGTCATTCCCCCCTGGCGAGCCTCGCGGGAGGCCCCGGCGCCTCCGGGGCGGGGCGCCTCCGAGGGGCCCCCGGGGGAGGGCCGGCGACAGCGGCGAGCGGCGCCAGGGCGGCGCGGCCGCGGAGCTCCGCGAGGGCGAGGCGGGTGTGGTGGGAGAGCGCCAGGTCCCAGCCGCCGGCCTGCCAGGATATTGCGGCGGCATGCTGATGAGGGCATGACGCTGATGGCAGACCCAACGCCATACGCCTTCGCCGTGCAGGCTCAGACTTACAGGGGCTTTCCGTGAAGCGTGAGGCAGCACGTTGGCTAGCACGCTCGCAAACGAAGAAGCCTGAAGCTGCACCTGATGGCAACGCACGGCACCTCCGACTATTCGGTCCCTGAATCGGGCCAGGAGGGGGGGGAAGCCAGAAGGTAATTACCGATACGGCAGGTTCGCATCGTGCCGACTGCGACGTTGGTTCCTGACAGCGCGGGTGAATGATCGGCCGTGTCCGAAATGTCGGATCGTCCAAAATCGACCGATTCTGGGTCATTGAGCAGGGACCGACCGTCCCGGCATTCCTATAGTCCTACCACGGAATGTTCTTAGAAAACAGAAATGCTCTAAGAACATGTCGTGGAAACCCCAAAAGGTTCTTAGAACATTGTTTGGTAGGGCTATGGGCGAGCCAGGACGCTTCGCCACTGCTTCGGCGGCTGCACCCAAAGATAAATGCTGGCGGCGGGGTCGCCGCCGGTCGACACGATGCGAACCTACCGTGCTGCTGCTCCACGGATCTCGCACGGGGCGCGTTCTGGCCAAGACTTTGGGGCGAACCCAGCCGCGACGACGAGAGAAGGGTGGCAGCATCGGTACTTTGGACAGGACCAAGACAACTCGGGGATCTCGGGTCGGGAATCTTTTGACCCGGGTCTATCCATCTGGGTCAGCCAGGCCTTGCAGCATCCTGGAAGATCCTGCAAGATCCGGCAAGAGTCTGCACCCAAGCCCGGGTCAATGCGAAAGACCCTGCAAGATCCAGCAGGATCCTGCACCCAAACCCGGGTCAGTGCGACCCAGAGGCACTACAGGAACTTGTAAAATTGGGCGCTCTGGCTGACCCCCGCCCGAATTGCCCCCCGTCTCTCTTGAGGCCCGAAGTCTGCGATCCAGCTGCCCCCGAAGTTCCATCGGGGGGGAGGGCCTTCTCGGATCGCTCCGGGACGCCCTGGGAGCAGTCCGGCACGCTCGGGACCGATCTGTCCCTGTCCCCCCCCCTCCCCCGAAGAAGTATGAGACCATCGCCACCGAGAACACATCGGAGCGATGGCCGACCCCTGGTCGGGTGCTGCTGTAAGTGCCCCTGGCCGAAGGTGCCCCCAGGATTCTCGGGGTGGCGCAAGCGGCCTCCAGGGCACGCCTCACGAGGCCCAGGGGGCCCCAGGGTCTCCAAAATGGATCGAAACGCTGGATGAGTATCGTTTAACCGATCACCATCCCCGGCGGCGTGGCCTGGGCCCCACTGGCCGATTTACCCCCCTAGATGGGGATATAGGGCGTTCCCGTCGGGTTTCGAGGGGTGTATCCCCAACTGGGGTGGTAATTTGGTGGGGGTCTCGAAGGGGATGGGGATGGGGATGGGGATCGGATAAACGATACTGACTGGAGGAACCTTGGGCCTGGGGCACGTCTAGCAGCACCCGACCTGGGCAGTGGCACGCACCGAGCGTCAGCCAGTACCGGACGATGCTCAGGCCGACCCCTGGGCGGTTGCACGCACCGAGCGTCACCCAGTACTGGACGACGCTCAGGAACGCAGCCGCCCAGGAGTCACCTCCTCCCCGATGGGCTCTCGGTGGAGCTGCTCTTTCTCCCTCGAGGTCAACCAGCATCAAGTCGCACGTGCACAGGCTCCAACTCGAGATCGAATCGAGTCGTATATCGACGAGGGCGTCAGGTCCTGGCCGCCGGCCCCTGGAGGAGACGTGAACAACACAATCCTAATATGTCTGCTGCGCGGAGTTATGGGATCTGTGGGATCGGCGCTGCGCGCCGAGCGCGCCAGGGGCCGTGCCGTAGGCGCCGACAGAGGGGCCCAGCCCCGATCCAAGGAAGTCGACTTCCGAGATCCGAGATCCACCACAATCGCACCGCGAACTCAGAACGGGTCGGAGCGTGCCTCGAAGCGGGCTGCCTCGGCTCGGAATCGGCTTCGATGCCACTCGGCCAAGCCCGAATGCACTCCCCTGCGCCGTGTCGTCACCAGGCCGCACCGGATCACTGGGAAATCGAAATCGAACCGCACCAGCGTGAGCTCGACCTCGAATCGTATCGGTCGTGCCTTCTTGTACCACCGCACGCGGGCGTCGAACTCCAGGACGCTGCCCGGGAGCAGCTGCAGGTCGGCCAGCTGCTTGCCCACCTTGAGCCAGACGTGGTCGGTCTCGAGCGGGAGCTCGTCGGCCACCGCGGGGCAGCTGCACGCGCGCACGTCCACGAGCAGCACCGTCGGCTTCACCCAGGCCTTGCGCACGCCCCTCGTGGGAAAACAAAGCGATACCTATACTGCTACTCCCTAACCCGTGTGCGAGCCGACCAGAACTTCGAGGCGAATTTAGCGCGAGGGTCTCTCAGGAGGTCCCAAGGGGCAAACACGAGGGAAGGGAATCTGTATTAGAAGCCTCCTAGATGGGGTTGCAGTAGATGGGCTCAGAGCATCGCGCCGCATCGTCGATACATCACCGAAGCATCGGATATGTATTGGCGACGTCGGCGATGCATCGGCGACGTCGGCGTGGAGAACATCGGGCTCCGCATCGAACCACATCGCCGATGCATCGGCGATGAGGCGCTATCCTCCGAGACCATCTTCTCGGATCCACTTTGGGAGGAATGGAGCGATGGGTACCTCTTCCTTAGGCGAGTCTGTTTGGAAGCTCATTCTAACATGCACCGCCTCGGTTTAGTAAAGTGGCGTTCAGCAGCCTTTTGCGTATGACTAGCAGCATTTAGTGGTGGTTTAGCGTCCTCTAATGGCCTCTAGCGGCCTATAGAAGGCTTTCACGGCCTTCAGCAGCTGTGCAAATGTGCAAAAAGGATCTTATGTATGTTGCAGAGGGCTCCCAAACAGACTCAAGCAACACGGCGGCACCCCAACGGGCAAAAACCCACCGGCGCGCCGCCCAAGGGCAGGGCTGGGGCCTAGATTACCAGCCTGGAGCATATCCCCGTCCCAATGTCTGGTAACGCCTTATCTCGATACCGAGATTAAAGGGCCCCCTCAATTCTCCAGGGCGCATCCTTAAGATTGTCATCGCCTTTCCGCTTGCCGGTCGTAGGGATGCGGATCAGATTACCTCTTCCTCCCCCGACCTCGTCCGCCCGAGCCTCCGCACTGTGCCGCGAAAGCGCAGGCGCTGCATCACGCCGTGCATCAGATCCTGGCAAGGACGCCCAGGGACACACAGACAAACAGGCGCGACCCCCAGGAGCCCGCCCAGCCCCCCTGCTCTCATGGAGGCTCCTCCTCCCCCCCCACTTCCGACAGTTCCTCCGTACCCCTCCCGGGGACTCGACGCTTGCTCCTCTGCCTGCGTGCTGCTCCCCCTCCTGGCTCCTGGCGCGCGTTCGGGTGCACCCTCCCCGGCGGCTCCACGCCGGCGCCCGCGTGCACCGCACCTCCTGCCCGCCAGCGCCTCGCCGCCGCCCTCGGTGCCCGGCGCCGGCCCCGCGAGCTGCAGGCCGGCGGGTGCTCCACCTCCTGCGCCGCTGGGGCGCCCAGGGGCCCGGCCCCCGCGCGGCCGTCCGGGGGAAGGGCGTCAGTCTTCTCCTCGTCGTCGCAGAGGTCGTCCAGGGGGCCGTCCGGAGGAAGGGTGTAAGTCTTCTCCTCGTCGTCGCAGAGGTCGATGAGCACGCGGGGCACGTCCACCCAGCGGGACGTCATGGCGCCGTGGGAGGAGAGCGGCCACGGGCGAGCGGTGATGCTGCTGGGGGGGGCGCTTCCTGGATCTCGGCGGGGTACCGGCGTCTGCTGCCACTGCGGACGGCGGGCGAGAACGAGGCGAAGGGCGGCGGAGAGAGGGATGGGACGGACCTCTGCTGCGTCTACTGGCTACACAGCGACAAGTATATGGTGATGGTTCGGGAAACAACAGTAGGAAGGCGGTTGAGCAGATTCGGTTCCAACCGCCTCAATCAATCTTAGGCGAGCTGCGCATTCTGCACAAAGAGAACGGCAAAGGCAGAGATTCGCCTCAGCGGTCGGGCTCTGAAACGGACGTCCATCGACACAGACGGCCTGATGGTCTACGCTTTTCGAACGGGCAAGCTAGTATTAAGGTATCCGATGGGCATGGCTGAACTGCACATCAGGCAGACATGTTCGAGTTCAAGCGTGCTCCCTTCCCCCTATCCCCCCTCAATTCTCCAGATGCATCCGAGGTCCACGAAGGTCCCTGAAGGTCCCCGCACACCATGCCGTTAGACTTGTCGCTGGCTCCATGGATCGAGTAGGAGTCCGCCTGAGACTCCGCTAAGGCGTTCGGTATGCGGCATGCAGTTTCAAGCAAGCTGTAGCCTCAGTCTATGCTGAGGGTGCTCAGGGCAAATATTTCCAGACTCAGTACAGACTTCACCCGAACTAAGCTTAGCTTCGACCAATGTCGCGTATTAGAGGTTAGCATATTTGATTTCGGGCTAGCGAACATTAGAAAGGCCAAGATAAGCTCCAGTTGCGCATACGCTTATCGAAGACATTGGCGTGCCTTATCCAATTTCAAACTCCATACATGTCCGCCTCCGTACCTCGAGGCACGAGCTGGAGCGTTCCTGGATCCCTTGGAAAATTCTGCACTGCATCGTTTGGTTTGCTTGGCCCGTTGCTACGAAACCCACGGCCCAGAGTCCCGGGCGCTTCTGAAGTTCTCCGCTTATCCCCGCGCGGTGCCTCCTCCTCCTCCTCCTCCTCCTCCTCCTCCTCCTGAGAGAGGCCCCCCAGACGGTCCAAGAGCGCCCCTAGCCATCCATCAATCGCCCAAGCGGCCGAAGACGCCTGAAATGACCTCAAGATGGCCCAAGTGGCCCCCCAGACGGACTGACCCAAGAGTGCCCCAAGAGTCCAAAATCCATGATGCCCTATGTCTGCTTGGGGCCCCTAGGGTCTCGCCGTTGGGGGCTCCCGACGTCTCAGCGCGGCCATCGAAGACCCCAAGACTGCGCAAGAGGCCCCGAGAGGCCCCAAAGACGGCTCAAAATAGCTTCGAGGCGGCCCATGAGACACCTAAGAGGGCCCCAAGCAGGCCCCAAGAAGTGGGGCAGGAACAAATACTTCGAGCACTCGAGACCGCCAGCAGACCCTCAAGAGGCCCGCAAGCAGCTCCAGGAGGCCCCAAGAGGCTCAAAACCTGCCCCAAGAGGCCTCCAAGAGGCCAAACGATGTCACAAAACATTTCCAAACTGCATCCAACAAGCTTGAGATAAGCCTCCCAAGAAATCCCCACAAACATCCAAGATGCCTTTGACCTACAACCCAAGCGCGGTGACTGGAAAGGCCGACAATAACAGCAATCCTACGACAACCGCAATCAGCCTGATGCAGGGATACACGGACAGCAAGGGTCAATGTGTGTCGTTCAAACATGTATTGGCCACGTGGGCGTCTCATTCGAGTGGCCATCCACCGCAAAGTTCACTGAAACCACCTCTTTGAAAATGAATTCGTGAATTCCCAATGTCCGCCTTGAAGTAAATCACCCGAAGGCTGTGTCACATGATGGGTCATTGATGGGATCTGCAAATTAGGCGTCCCAGCACGCCTAGGCAATGATACGGTGCAGTTCAAAGGTCATTCTCCAGTCAGCCTGCCACCACAGCCCGACAGCGGTAGTCTGGATGCTCCGGAGGAACGGGTTGAGAAGCCATTGAAGGGAGGAGAGAGAACGAAAGAAAGAAACAGGATGATGGGACGGTGGGGAATATACATGCAAACCAGGGCGAACTTCAGATGTACGTGTCCATTATTCGAATGGCACGTTTGTATAGAGTCCGCGGAGCTGTCTCCGAGAGAATACAGGAGACGAGGGATGACTTCCAGGAATCGCTGAATCGAGTCGGATCGGAACGCAGCGTGCATCGAAACGGGCTGCGTCCGGATCGACCACCCACCCCATAATGCAGAACTGCACAGTGCAAACATCGGGGCGCATCGCATCGTCGAAACATTGAACTCGAATCGGCACAAGCTAAGCAGCACCGAGACCGATTCGGACAGCTCGGATCGAGATGGGCCATGCGACGCATGGCGACGCAGCAGAAGGGCAACGACCAGCAGCAGCAGCAGCAGCAGCAGCAGCAGCAGTAGCAGGACCACCCCCACCATCCCCACCAGCATCAAACACGAAGTAAATACGGTGAGGGCATTCAATAAAGAACCATTGGATAAGGAAACCAGGGTCTGGAAGCCGATGGGTTGCCCATTGAGGCATAGCCATAGATCTCACCGCGCACATTCTTTAACCAACGTCCCCACCGTACGCAAGGAGATGGTGCATGAAGCCTGAAGGGCCTGAAGCCCACATTGCAGCATGTCAGCAGCGACAGGCCGAAGCACACAGCTACATAGGCAAGGGCGAAAGGGCAGCCGTTGCGAGATCCTTGTCGTGGCGCGCAAACTCGGGGGGGGGGGCACGGGGGATGAGCCATCTGCAAAGACAGGGCAGGTGGTGTCCTAGAAGGGATCGGCCCCTCTTGGAGGCTTCCAGGAAGGCCCGTCAGAAGTCATGAGGGCTCGGATCGGCAGCGAGCCAGGGGGGGAGTGAAAAGGAGAAGGCCTTCTCAGATGGCGCCTTCTCTGAGAGGTTCCTCGTGCCTTCGGGGAAGACTTGGAACACTTTTTTTCAGAAGGCTGGGGGACTTGCGAGCCTTCTCAAAGTCCCACCCCTTCTCACTTCCCCCCCTCGCTCGCCGCCGATTTTAGGAGGCAGGATGCCTTCTGAGAGGGCCGACCCTCTCAGCCGCTCCAGACCAGCTCCAGGATCTGCCGGCAGTCCGTCCTGGCCCGTCTTCCGAGCCGCTCACATCTGTGGCGAAGAGGGGGGAGGCGCGAAGGCAGGGGAGCACCCCTCGCCATCGCTCGGACGTACATCCTCCATGCATTGTTCGATTCCGTGCGTGCTTCTTGTGGCCGGGTGATCCAGGATGGTCATCCATGGTCCTTGCCCCAGAAACAATGTACACGTCCGAGCGATGACCCTGTTGCCCCACGCCCTTGCCCGAGACTGCCGTGGCAGACTGCAAGCGCTCTGAAGCCCAGCTCTTCCTGGGGACAAGCCCGAAGGTACTCCAGATTTCGTAATAAAGGGAGGGGGGTCTCATTTCGGGGGGGTCTCTTCCAGGCTATCTTGGAGGGCCTGGGGGGGTCTGGGGACGATGTTTTGGAGGGTTCTCCCACGGGGGGGGTCTAAAACTTCTCGTCTGGGAGAATACCGATACCGCTCCTCCACGGACCTACCTCCCAGGGCGCACTTCGATGAGGATCTCGGGGCGAATCCAGCGGTGTCGACGCGGGCCTCCCAGAGGCCGAACCAGGGGGAGAAATGGGAAAGGGCATCGGTAGGGGGCCCCGAGAGCCCAGAATCGAATCGATAAGTCGGATCGGCGATCGACATGAGTCGGATCGGCGGAAATCAGCACCCAAGACGGGAAAAGTCGAATCAGCGGACATCGGCAGGCTAATACGCGTCCAGTAAGGAATCGGAACCCAAATTGGACTCCCAAGTCGAACCGAATCGGAATCGAATCGGGTCGAATCGGAAGAATCCAAATGAGCCCTGGTTAGGTGCAGGAGGGGGAGAGGGAGGAGGATGAGGAGGAGGAGGAGAAGGAGGAGGAGGAGGAGAAGAAGGAGGAGAAGGAGGAGGAGGAGGAGGAGGAAGCGAAACGAGCTTGACGACTGCAGGCGCTCCGAAAACACAGCTCTTCCAGCGGCCGGCCGCCCAGCACGGTCTGCCAGCGCCGAGCCGAGTCTGCCCCGCGCCGCGCCGCGCCGCTCCCGCCCGCGGGGCCCGCCGCGGCCCGCGGGGGGCGCGGCCGCCGCGGGCGCCCACGCCGTCTCCGGGGGCTCTCGGGACACGCGCCGGGAGGAGTAGGGGGAAAACAAACCTACCTCGCTTTTGACCACCCTCGCTTCCAAGAGATACCAAGCGATGCCAAACTACGGCCTGTACTGGTCAGGTCGCTTGGCGAGGAGGCGCGTGGTATGACTTGGTTTTGCCTGGAAGCGAAAGCGGGGTAGGTAATTCACGCTCTGAAGGAGGGGAAGTCAGGACAGGGGAAGGAGCAAAGACAGACATAGCAACTCGGCGGTCCGCGCGGATCTCTTGGATCGGCGCGGGGGCCCCCTGGCGGAGCCTCCGGCGCCATCCCCAGCGCGCTTCGCGCGCCAGGGAGGGGGCCCAGCGCCGATCCAAGAAATCCGCGCGGACCTCCCAGTTCGTATGTTTATGTCATTGTGTGCTCCTCTTCCTTTAGGAGACGAAGGTCGGATGATTGGGCGGCGCGCATACGGGCGTTCCCCCCCGGTTTGCGGGCTCCGGGGCCCGCACGGGTCGGAGTGGCTCGAGGAGTGGCGGTGGGGTCCAGGGCTCCAGTCGTGAATTTCTGGATGTTGCAACTGCCTCGAAAAGTCGGACCTCAGGGAACAATCACAACCAGAGCCTTGGACCCCATCTTCCCTTGGACGGCGCGCACAACAGGGGGTATGGGACGATATAGGAAGGGGGGAAGGCGTCTTGGAAGGAGCCTGCTTCTGAGAAGCCTCCCTCCCGTTCTTCTTACCCCTACCCTTAGGTCGGGCCTGTCCCCCTGCAGGGGGATTTTGGACGAAAAATAAAAAATACCCAACAATATATAAAAGAAATGAAACATAGTCCCCATACGATGTTCGACTATTTTTGACGACTCCTCCTGTGGAGGGACAGGCCCGACTGAAGCCTCCCCCCTCTGCGCGTGTCGGGTCGGGCGAAAGGGGGGGATAGCCAAGGGGGGGTTTGAGAATCAGCTCACGTAGCTGATTTTCCCGGCGCCTCCCGGCGCCGGAGGCGGCCATGTATCGAGGAATGGGCCCCTCGGTGAGGCCGAAACCAGCTGCATGCAGCAAATTTCGTACCCCCCCCTTTCCCAATCCCCCCCTTTCGCCTCCCCCCTCTGCGCGTGGGCCTGTCCCCCTGCATGGGGGATTTTGGACGAAAAATAAAAGCATGCCCAACAATATTCAAACATCATGGTTTTAACAAAAAATAATCCCCA